GTATTTTAAAAATAAGTTCACAACCTGTTAGGAGAGCAAGTCAAGATAAATAATTAAGATTCCATGACTCTATCATAACCAAATCTCACTGACATCGCTGTTGTTTACACAACAAAACAAACATATTTTTTCTTTATTCAAGAGCGTGGTCTTTTAGTTGTAGGACACAACTTATTGATTTCACATTCAGAGTTTTAATGCTTTCCCTCCAAACTGCACACAGATTTGCCAACCCTAACCCTAATCTAAAGGATTAGCATGAAATCAATCAAGTCATATTCTCAAACTAAAAGACCATCATTTATGGGCTATAGTTTAATTATCAGAATCAAACATAATAATATAAATGTCCTATTATTGGCCGATAATTATTGTTCATCCATAGTCTGTTTTATTTTTAAGATTAATGAAAGCTGTTGCAGCCTGTTTACCCCTTACAAACTGATATTTGACATTTTGTAGCGATCAATAACCTCCAAAATTAACGATGCAGACAGTGATATCGCGAGAGTTTCACACGGGATTTATTATGGTGACTTACTACCACTACACTGTAGTTGCTTCTCTTATAAACAAACAAAGTTACAGTAATAATATAATTATTATCGAACGTAACTTAAACGTTAGCTTTGTACCGTTTGATCAGACAATAAATTAGCTAATAAGACATTCACATAACTTTTCAAGTCATCTGTCCCGAGTCAAAGTCAAGTCTAGTCTTTTATCGGTGTTAGACAAGTCTTCAAATGTCTGACTCGAGTCAAGTGACTCCCATCCCCCATCTCTGACAACTGCAGTACAACTTCAAGTAGGAAGATTCACGCCACCCACCTGATCACAGATCAGCTCCCACTTCTTCTCGTTGTCATAGGAACGCAACAGACGCACCTTGTCAGGAGGAAGATTCATCGAGTTCTGGAACACAAACAGACTCACCTGTACACCTGATTGAGAACTGATCGATCACCATTAATCAATCACCACTAACCCGGTACACCTGATTGAGAACTGATCGATCACCATTTATCAATCACCACTAACCCGTACACCTGATTGAGAACTGATCGATCACCATTAATCAATCACCACTAACCGTGTCCCCAAAGTCAGTTTTTTGTTGTGTTGGATCAGTATATGAAGCAGAACCAATCCAGAATACTTCGGACCCGAACTCCATGTTTAAATTGCCATGGCGACAGCTGCAATGCCGGTAGCTCCTTCAAACTTCATATATTTTTATTTTATTCTGTATTTTTTGGGCTTTGGTGCTGAAACATAATTGAATGATGTCTGATTGGATTTTAAAGCTAAAATCATTCAATTTGATTGATCAGGAGATTGTGACTCACATTCAGATGTCCTGAACTCCTTCAAACCTCTGTTTTTATTTGAACTGTTTGAATTAATATGTGTTTCCAGCTTTATTGCTGGTTTAAGGTTTAAGGACCTCCTGGACCTTAATGTTACCGTCCTGGTGATGCAGCTCTGCTATCCAGGGGCATCTTGTAAGCATCCAAAGTGACACTGAGGCCCAGTCTACTGTCCGCCTGTCTGGCTGGGGAAGTATGTCCGTCAAATATGGCCAGTCAACTTTGTCAGCTTTTTTATGATTTAACAAATAATAATAAGAAGAATAAACAGAATATTAAGTGAAGACAATTAGTCTTAATTTTTTTCATGGGGCCGGTGAGAGACCTGGATAGTGCATTTGGGGGACACTGGCCCCAAAAAGGCTGAGAACCACTGACCTATGTAGACCTGTTAACCCCCTCAGCACTGCCACAGTCAGGGCCTGAAATAAGCCAGTACTTCTGATATCTGCCCACATCATACTGTTACATCTTACTGCATACAGCCAACTCCTGGTGAGTCTACGTTTTTTTTGCTGGCCCACAGACAGCTGCTTGAGCCCGGGGAGCTCTGCAGAAGAGAACCAGAGCTTCTGGAGGAATAAACACTCGTAGTCACACCGGATTCTGCTCTGGAGACGATTACACTATTTAATCTTTCAACTTTTGGGATTAAAAAGTGGATTTATCTTCACTCTCCCTGCTCAACCTGTCTGCTGAGGTCTTGATGAGATAGAACCAGATGGACTGGTTCTTTAACTTGTGGTGGTCTCAGAGGTATCCGTATCTTCAAACAGACTCTGAGCGCCCAACAGGTCCTACATAAACCAGACCAACTAGTCTCTGTGATGATATAAGGATGTCTCTCCAGGTTCACACATCAACCTCAGAGAGACCTGTTCCAGGTTGCACCAACTGGTCTTTACGAAGACTTTATGACTAAACTTAATCCAGATTTGAACTACACCTGATCTACGTGTGCTAACAATCTCATGCTGTTGTGCTGATTTGTTGTCTTTTTTCCTTCCTTTGATCCTTCAGAACGTTGCTGTAAATGAGCTGTACAGAGATTGCCAATCAGTCCGATGTAATAACAGATAAATAACGGATCGATCAATGATTGTTCACACACAACTGATCTATGATGTAAACACAATATCACCAAACTCCTGTAAAAAATCCTCCATTTTTGTGAGTTTCTGAGTGAAAACAGACTTTATAAACTTTATACACTGTACATGATACTCCGTACATTGTGTCTGTTTGTCCACTGCTGGCTGCTCTGTCTCGATCAATGATCAGTGATCAATGATTCACTTTGTTAACAACACACACTTGAATATCATTCATTTCTCAGTCTCACCTGTAGTGCTTTAATTTACACACAGTTCTGTTGAATCTCTCTAAGGGTCGATGGCACAGAACAGAACGTTATCAGGCTACATTATATATTGTATATATATTTTATATATAATATATATCTATACTATTCAGTTATTTCAGGTATCTAAACAGGCTCGTTACATTCATTTTATAAATTTTGTTGAATGCCTTTCCAACAGCAAGAACAGTTAATATCGTAATATCGAAGCTAGTTTTGTTCATTTCATAGTTTAGTACATCCCAGAGCCAGTACTTCTCAAGAATCAGTACTTCTACTTTTACTGGAGTCTGGAGAATCTGTGTATCTATTACAGTAAAGAATGAGTTTACTTTAACCAACTCTGGTTTGTGCGTCTATGCTGCTGGAAACAGAAGAAGAAACAGTCCAAAGCTTCATTTCATGAATCAGAATACTTTAGTTTGCGTGGGAGTCGCTCAGTCTACCTGAGGGTTGCGGGTTCAAGTCCAGCACAGACCACAGTATGGAGTGTGGACTCGTAGCTGGAGAGATGTCAGTTCCACCTCCTGTACACTGCTGAGGTGCCCTTGAGCAAGGCACCTAACCTCTAACTGCTCCCGTAGCGTCACTACGTGACGGCCCATCACTCCATCTCTCCACATTTGCATGTCTATAAGTCCTGTGTGCGTATGATTGTGTTTTGGGCCTCTATATGTGTCTAAAGCATAGAGTGAACAGTTTCCCCATTGGGGGTTAATAAAGTATATTTTTATCACTCTGACTGCGTTCACACTCTCAGAATAACAGTTGCCAACTTTCTTCCACACAGACAATTGATCAGGAATCATTAAAGGAATCAACAAAGAATTAGGCTGATAAGCAGAATTGACAACGGTATTGGTATCAATAAAATGTTATCAGGTTCCATCCCTACTGACAAGGTTCCAAGCGACGTGGTGCAACCGGCGTTACCATCAGGTCGGACTTAGAGCGCCACGTTACAACTGCCATGGTTTAAGACCCTAGCGCCACCATCAGGTCAACATGTATCCAATACTGCAGAACTACAGATATTCCCATCAGCCTCAGCTGCTAATGTTAGCATGCTAATAGGCTATCTGTGTGTGTGTGTTTGTGTGTGTGTTTACCAGTGCGATAGAGAACCTCTCTTCCAGCTCAGCTGGGTCGGGCATCGGGAGTCGGACCGGGGCGGCTCTGGACCGGATCACGGCCAGCTGGCTCTCCATGCTCTCTGCGTTCCCCATCACACACACACTGCAGACAGTCACACACTGATCACACACACAACACAGTGAACACACCCACCTACTAACACACACACACACACACACACACTCAGCAGACACACAGGAACATGTGGTCGGCCATCACTGAACGCAGACAGACAGGCGCTGGAGCTACTGAAGGCCTGTCTGTCTCTCTCCTGTATGTCTCTCTCTCCTGTATGTCTCTCTCCTGTCTGTCTGCTGTCAGACGGTGAAGATCGTCTCCCTCTACCTCTCGTCTCTCTGTGTCTGTCTGTGTCTCTCTTTGTCTCTCGTCCTCGCTGTTGCTGCTGCTGATGCTGATGATGATGATGATGATGATGCTGATCCAGATGAAGGTCTGATGCTGCGTCGTTGTGTGTTTATATTAAATGTGTGTGTGTAAGCGCGTGTCGCAGATCAGCCGGTTAATCCTCCCCCACTCCTCCCCCACATGAAGAAAGAAAGAGAGAGTCGGCCTCCCTCCTCTTTGTCTCTCTCTCTCTCACTCTCTCACAGCTGCAGTCTTTGTCTAGCTCGCTCGACCCTCCCTCCTCCCTTGCTCTCCCTCTGCTTCCTCAGACAATGAGCCTTCTGCTGCCACAGACTCCGCCCACCGACACACACACACACACACACACACAGAGGTGTTTAATCTGACTCTGGATCAGCTGCTGTAAAACACACGTCTGTATTTATTAGTTTAAACATTATTATTATGATTATTATTATTGTGTGATTGCTGCTTGCATTATCTTCAGTATTTATTTTGCTTTTTATCTTTTTTTGTCCTCAGTTCATTTTATGGACCGGTATAAAACATCATTAACATTTCACATAGGAAGCCTATTAATGTCATTCCAGGGATTCATTTTGTTTTTGATATCTGTTACAGTTATTGAGATATAATCAGTATGAGTCACATAAACCTGGTACACAGGTTCTCCACGGAGATATGCTAAACATATTAAAGCATGTTTTCAGTAGTGCCACAATGTGGACAGTTATTAAGAATTTTTCACTTTTTTACCAATGTAATTGATAATGGCCACGCCCATTTGCACCTTAAAGACATTCCGCTATTTTGGATATTTGATTTAAAACATCTTTACTGCCTTTTTACACATATTCTATCTAATCTTCACCATAATTGGTAATTGGTACATTTAGATGAATGCAAACACAAACCAATCACACATTATCTTCAGTCTTTATTTTGCTTGTTATTCTTTTTCTTCATCCCTACATTTTTCAGGAAATGAAAATGTTGTTGTTTTAGTAATATTATTATTATTATGATTATTTAACACGTAAATATGTTGTAAGTATGAGTACTGTAGTAATAATATTCATATTATTATGAATATACTTATACATATTTTTAATTTCATCTGTTCTGAGTAACAAAACAGTAAAGATACTCAGTGGTGAAAGTATTGCAGTACTCTGATTAAAGTACTGCAATACTCATTGGTAAACAGCTCCCTCTGGAGGAGGTTGCTAAGCCCTCACCCAGAGACATGGGACCCCAACATACAGCATCCTAACCTCAGCAATAAAACGTCCTCCAACCCAAAAGCATGTGAGGCATTATTATCTCTTTACATTATTATCTAGTTATATTATTATCTCTTCACATTATTCTTTACATTATTACTAGTTATATTATTATCTCATTTACATTATTATCTAGTTATATTATTATCTCTTCACATTATTATCTAGTTATATTAATTATCTCTTCACATTATCTCTTTACATTATTATCTAGTTTTATTATCTCTTTACATTATTGTCTCTTTACAGAGAATCTTGAATCTTGAATCTTATGTGGTTACATTATCTCTTTACATTATTGTCTCCTTACATTTTTTGTCTCTTTACATTATTGTCTCCTTACATTCGTGTCTCTTTACATTTTGTAGTAGGGTCAGTTGAGTGGAGACCCTAACCCGAGCATCATACCAGTCCGGGCCTAGTAACAGCCAGAAACCCGTCTAACCTCACCCCAGCACTCCTCTGCTGTCTCCCCCTCCATCCATCAGGCAGAAACAGACAGTGCATGTTTTTGTCTCCTTCCTGTGTCTTCTCCAAAGAAAGAGGAGGTTGGTGCAGCCATTTCATTTAACACAGAACATCTTACTCTATCCTGGGGGAACTCCACATCCTCTTTATTTCCACCAGCTTTGGTCTGTTCTGCAGCGTTGTGCTCCACATTTTGTAAACAACCCTCCATCCTTCACTTCCCCACATTGCAACATAAAATCTCGCCTCCTCGTCTCCACACCACCAAATGTTTACTACATCCTCACACTGAATTTCAGTATGCAGCTGCCTAAGCCTAACCCTGCTGCAACATGTGGGGGTCCTAACCAGTCATTGTGTCTACCCTCCCCATCGCGCCCTCGCTGTTTCCATGTAGAATCTCTTTCTCTTGGATGTTGGACTCTAAAATGATTTGATTTCATTGTGTATAAGAGCTGATCCAGAGTCAGACAGTGTTTCACAGACACAGGCCAGACAACTGTCAGAGGAAGTGATGCATTGTGGGTAGTGTAAGTGGCGGAACTTTGCTCCATTGATTCTGTTGTAAGGGTGACAGTGCTTCTAATAATAATAATAATAATAATAATAATAATGAGAATAAGAATATTAACAACATTTATAACTTCCATTAAGTCCATTAAGCAATATATCTTTAACAATCACAAGGTTTGAGTTACTGTAGGTTCATCCAAAGGTTACATTTCCTGTTGATCATTGACCACAGGGGGCACAGTGGGTACAGGGGGCACAGTGCTGCGGTTGACCACAGTGGGCACAGTGCTGCGGTTGACCACAGTGGGCACAGTGGGTACAGGGGGCACAGTGGGTGCAGTGCTGCGGTTGGCCACAAGGGGGCACCAAACTGAACAATATTACTTTCCTTTTTAATATTTGGCTCCTTCAACAATAATAATAACAAAAATAAGAATAGTAATAATGATAATTCTTAATAATAATAATTATTATTATAATAAGAATTATAGTGATAATGACAATAATAATGACAATAATAATAATTATTATAATAAGAATTATAGTGATAATGATAATAATAATAATGATTAGAATAATAATCATTATTATTATTATTTCAGCACTGCGGACAGTCTCTGCAGGAGCCCCGCCCCCTCTGATTCAGGGCTCCAGGCTGCGTCAGAGAGAGAGAGAGAGAGAGAGAGACAGAGAGAGAGACAGGTGGAGACAGACAGGTGGAGACAGACAGGTGGAGACAGTGATGGAGCTGCAGACAGATTTCTGTTTTGTCCTGATGGATTTTTAAATTTGAACATTTGAACAGACAGACAGAGAGACAGAGAGACAGACAGCTCCTCCGCTGCTGCAGAGAGCCTCGCGCCGGTCGGTCCCGTTGTCGTCATGGGAACGGTGCTATCTCTGTCTCCGGGCTCGCGGAAAGCTGCGGCTCGTGGGCCGGAGAAGCTCGTGGAGCTCGCGGTGCAGAAGCCGCTGGAGCCCCGCGAGGAGGAAGAGGAGAAGGACGAGAAGAAGACGAAGAAGAAGAAGAAGCGGCACCCGGTGCTGCTGCACGCGCTCAGCTGGAAGAAACGTCTCGTGGCCGCGCGAGCTAAGAGGAAGGGCGGGAAGAAGGTGAAGCCCGCGGTGTCCGAGCCCGGGCACGTGCAGCGGGAGCAGGCGGGCACCGACAGCCGCCACAGAGCGCTGAAGACCGGACACAGACACGGACCCATCCCGGTACCCGTACCCACCGTACCGAAACACACCCAGAACCAAAACCAGAACCAGGATAGGCCGGACCTGATCATCTCCCCGCGGAGGGTGGTGGTGCAGGTCAGTGCGTGCGCATGTGTGAGGCACATGGGATACAATATGAGTTAATAGAAATATAACTCTATTAACTGTATCTAACTGTATTATACGTTTTATTATTCATTAATAAAATACTGTCAGCATTATTATATCTAACTATATCGTTTTATTATTCATTACATAAAATACTGGTCAGACATTATTAATATCTAAACTGTATTATCGTTTTATTCATTTAATTAAGATACTGTCACGACATATTAATTACTAACTATTATCCGTTTTATTATTATAATACTGTCCCAGACATTAGGTGTGTAATATCTAACTTGTATTCATCGTTTATTATTATAAAATACTGTCAGACATTATATAATATCTAACTGGTATTATTCGTTTTATTATTAATAAAATAATACTGTCAGACATTATTAATATCTAACTGTATTATCCGTTTTATTATTATTAATAAAATACTGTCAGACATTATTAATATCTAACTCTTCTAACATTATTTACACAGACCCAACAGTTCCACCATGAACATGGAAGAGTCCATGTTGACCTCAGTGTGTCTGTTCATGTTTGACTGTAGACATAAACACTCACATTACACAGAACAAAGTCACAAATCAAAGAAAGGAGGCGAATGTTGAAATAGTTGGAAACATCCTGTATCATTCATAGAGAATCCCAAACTAATGAGTTCTCCTTCAGTTGTTCACTGCTCTCTCTTTCTGTCTCCTCTCAAGGCATCTACAGGTGAGCTTCTTCGCTGTCTCTCTGACTTTCTGTGTCGACGTTGTGTCAAACTGAAGGAGCTGTCGTCCAATCAGATCGTCCTGTGGTTCCGAAATGTAGACAGAGCACTGCTGGTTCAGGGCTGGCAGGTCAGTGGTTGTGTGATCTCCAGCTGAATCCTGATATTTAAGTTGAATGCAATACAAATGTAAAACACTGCTTTACAGTACTCTTTGTTAGCAGTAGCCGTTCTCTCTATAGTAATACTCTTCCTCTCTGCCTGCAGGACCAGTGCTTCATCAGTCCTGCCAGTCTTGTCTTCGTGTACCTGCTGTGCAGGGAGGCTGTGGATGAGGACACATCTTCAGAGCAGGAGCTCCACTCCACCTGTCCTCACCTGTCTCTACCTGGGCTACTCTTACCTGGGCAATGAGATCTCGTATCCCCTCAAACCTTTCCTGGTGGAGTCCAGCCGTGATGCATTCTGGGAGAGAGCGCTGGAGCTGATCGACCGACTGAGCACCGATATGCTGCGAATCAATGCCGACCCACACTTCTTCACCGAGGTGTTTCAGGATCTGAAGAACCAGGGAGGAGAGAGGGAGAGAGTGAAAGAAAAAGAGAAGGAGAGAGAAAAGCAGGAGAAAGAAAAGGGGGAGAGGGAAAGGGAGGAGGAGGAGAGACAGATAATTAAGGAGAGGCAGGAGAAAGAGGAGGAGAAAGAGAACGATGGAGGAAACAGGATTGATGAACTGGATCGTTAAGAGATAAAAAAAGAGGAGAGAGGAGACTACAGTATTTGTTAATGAGACTCGCCAGCAGCTGTCGACCCGCTGAGGTCTGAATGTAAAGCAGCTGCACCTGCAGCTTTAACGCTGTTACCATGGCGACTGACGACAGTCAGATTGATCGTGACCTTTGACCACCTGCTGAAGAGAGACTGAAATGTGGACACTAGCTCACTTTAACTGCATGCTGTCAATCCAAACCAACAGTATCTCCTGATTGTACCATCGTGGATGTAGACGAGTTGCCGTGGCAACCTTACATACGATCTCCAGCCTTATTTTGTTTAGTTGCATAGCTGAAGAAAGCTTAACGTGTTAGTGCTGCAGGAAGGCGTTTATTTATCTATTTATTGATTAATCACATGGGGTTAGTTATTGACTGGTCATTATTTTTACCTTAATACACAGCTTTAAGATGGCTGTTACACTGGATGCATTGTGGGAAATGTAGTTTAACAGCTGCACTCGAATGACAGATTTAAAGCTTGATCACAAAATGAGAGCAGCCATGAGGAAGGTCATGGGACCTGGTGTTTTTTTGTCTTAAGGCTGAATGTAAAAGCAGTCAGGTGAACTGAACTGTGCCAACTGTTTTTGTATAGAAATCAAACCATCGACATAAACAACACGAGTCACCTGAGTGTCTGTCGCCTCTTCTTTCCTGTCTTTACTTCAACAGATCCATCCTACTGTCTTTTATTGTCTTCTACTATATTCTATTGTCTTGTATTGTGCCATGATAAGTCAATGCAGTAAGCTGTACTTATGATTGTACCTGTAGTTATTATTGTAGCTAGTTATTACTTTAGCTGTAGTTATGACTGTAGCTGTAGTTATGACCAGCTGTGGTTATGACTGTAGCTGTAGTAATGACTAGCTGTGGTTATGACTGTAGCTGTGGTTATGACTGTAGCTGTAATTATGACTGCAGCTGTGGTTATGACTGTAGCTAGTTATGACCGTAGCTGTGGTTATAATTGTACCTTTAGTTATGACTGTAGCTTCTTATGACAATCTAGTTCTGACTGTAGCTATGGTTGTTACTGTAGCTGTGGTTATGACTGTAGCTATGGTTATGACTGCAGCTGTGGTTATGACTGTAGCTAGTTATGACTGCAGCTGTAGTTACTACTGTAGCTGTGGTTATGACTGTAGCTAGTTATGACTGTAGCTGTGGTTATGACTGCAGCTATGGTTGTTACTGTAGCTATGGTTGTTACTGTATGCTAGTTATGACTCCAGCTGTAGTTATAACTGCAGCTGTGGTTATGACTGTAGCTATGGTTGTTACTGTATGCTAGTTATGACTGTAGCTAGTTATGACTGTAGCTGTGGTTGTTACTGTATGCTAGTTATGACTGTAGCTAGTTATGACTGTAGCTATGGTTGTTACTGTATGCTAGTTATGACTGCAGCTGTGGTTATGACTGTAGCTATGGTTGTTACTGTAGCTAGTTATGACTGCAGCTGTAGTTACTACTGTAGCTGTGGTTATTACTGTTGCTAGTTATGACTGTAGCTATGGTTGTTACTGTAGCTTATTATGACTGTAGCTGTAGTTACTACTGTAGCTAGTTATGACTTTAGCTGTATTTATGACTGAATTGATTGAATTACTGGCTGATTTTTATTTTCAATAGAAAATATCTAAACATGGTGGATGTTTTAAAGTACGACTTTCCTGCCTGATTCAAAGTATTTTTTTCTAATAGATGTGACAGGTGTGTTATTTAACATGTCTTTAATGCAATGGTAAAAAGAGGACAGAGACAAGGGTTCACAGCAACACGACAGCAACCAGTATACTAATAGAAATTGACTAATGATGATAGCAACGATAATAGCCTCAACTATGGAGGATGATGAATAATAAGAATAGTAATAATAATAATAATATCAGTAATATTGGTAGTTGGGGTCAAGTAGGACCATGGCAGCAGGAACCACCAGGATCTATGAGAACCTGCGAAACAAGAAAGCACAAAACTACTCTGTGTGTGTGTGTCATTGCAGTCAGTCATCACCATATCACTGCTCCGGTTTTTGTGAATAACAGTGACAGAGGTCACATGATGCACCTCTGCTTGCTGCTGATTGGTTCATATTTGCTGCAGAGAGAGAGAGAGAGAGAGAGAGAGAGAGAGAGAGTTTGAAGAATAAATGTGCAAAAGCTCCCGAGAAAGGAGAGGCACTGAGTACTTCCCTTTAACTCGCCTCCTTTAATTCTCCTTGAGTATTTCAGTTGAGTGTGTTTGTCTCCTCTCAGATAGAGAGAGATGTGAAAACACGTTTTTAACTGCAGACAGTGCACAAGCAGTTAAGGTGAAAACAACTGTTGTAAACACTGGGTGAGATGGGTTACGGTATATTGCTTTTAAGGGAGTAGCACCCCCTGGTAAGTTTTGATAGGAAGGTCGTAGAGATTTGAAACCAAGCTGTACACCCTCATGCCAAGGCCCTGGCTTTTGATTGGTGCCACCCCCAAGTGGGTGGGACCTTGCGTTCAAAAGTTATGCCCATGTCAGAGGTTGAAAAGTTTGTATCTCTGCAACGGAAGGTCGTAGATACTCGTGCACAAGTCATGCATGTTCAGCTTGGTCGAATTGTGTGGGAGTGAGCCCGTTTCCAAGTGTCTAGGACGTTCAGTTCTTGAGTTATTCCCGTTTGAGTGTTTCCGTTCATTGTTAATGGAGCAATCCTATGTTGAAAAATTTCTAAGTGTCAGCTCTACTATGGGACTTTTCAGAAAGTGTCTAGGAGCACGTTTCAGGACTTTGAACTTTGAAAGGGTTGTATCTCGGGAACCGAAGGTCGTAGGGGACAGCTCTGGCGTGTTCAGCGTGGTCGAATTGTGTGGGATACAGCCCGGTTCCAAGTCTCTAGGAGGTTCCGTTCCCAAGATTCACACTTGCGTTGCATATATGCTGTAGTCCCTAGATTTCACACCAAATTTGTCACCAGTGGTGAATAACTTTGTCCGTGAGCGTGCTAGAGCGATGGAAGCGGTGTCTATCCCCCCATTTTCGGGCCTGCCCTTTCCATTTGTGCCGGTCTGAAGTGGGTGGGACTTGTGGTTGAAAAGTCACGCCCATTGGGTTAGGTTTAGGAGAAGAAGATGGTTTATAAAAAGGGGGAGTCCACTGACTTTCTCCATTGCACGGGCACATGGGGTTTTCCTTCATTAATTTCAACAACAATTCACAGTAAACCACAGAACAAGAACAACAGTAGTGTAACTCTTGGTTTTTGGGGGCCAAAATACCATTGTTGGTAGACTGGTTACCCTCCATCCACCACCATTGTAAAAATAGCCTGTAGAGCTTTCATAGCCCAGAATACCATCGTTGGTAGACTGGGCTTTTTTGTTTTGACCATCTACAACTTATTGTCTCTGGTCTGTTTTTAATCTGGCAATCCAGAGCCTCTCGGCCTGCACTCTCTGGGCTGCAGACCAATGGGGATGGCCTTCCAGGCCTGCAATTATCACGTTATCAGCCCCATGTGTCCGGAAATGATCGTATAGTGCAGACACTTTAGTGGATTTGTTGATGT